GTCGTGAGAGTACTGGCACTTGTCCTGCACGAGGTGTGGGAATTGGAAATGGTTGTGTTTAAGCCGCCAGTCCTTCAGCCCTGCACCGCTGAACCCTAAATCCCGTCGTTAGGAACTGTATTCCAATTGTAAGGCCTGTCTGTCAAGCTTACAACAAATACAGGATTAGGCCATGCAGTGTTGCGTCTATACAGCAAAGGGCGTAATGAAATACGGCCTTCATGGGGCTTTGAAGGGTCTGAAAGGAAACGTTTAGTGGTCTCTTGGGCAAGTAGTTCGAGCCTTAGCGCGCCATAGACGCTCATCGGGGATAGGGTTTATAGGGGTTTACGGTTTAGGTCCTGCAGCAGTGGATGCAATTTCCAATGCGTAGACCCCAACGGCCCTAAAACCCTATATAAACCCAAAACCCTAAGCCCAAAGCCCTAAACCCAATGCCTAAACCTTAAAACCCCAAACTCTAACACTGAACTGCTTACTCCTTCAGCGCTGTCCGCCGTCCAGCCATGCTATGTGCCCTCAGTTCAGACTTTCTGCGAGTTTAGGGTTTAGGGGTTAGGGGTTAGGACGTCTCTGAGGATCTCCTGTGAAGAGCGAATCCGGGGCCTGGGGGCGGCAGGCACCGCTTGGGCCGACGAGGCAGCTTTTGGCTGCGGAGCGGGTCTTGTGGGGTCCAGACAATTTGGGCCTCTTCAACAGAGGTCTGTGTCATGAGCATCCCCTGCGAAACACGTTCTAGAAAACGCATCTAGATAGAACTTCTCCGAGATATCCGTACACGTGCGCCAGAAGTCCATGGTATCCGTGTCGGAGGAGCTACGGCCGGAAGTCCCACGAGGGACTTCTTCAAGTAAGTCAGCAACCAGCGTAAGAAGCCAGAGGAAACTATTAAGCATTCAGTTGCACGGTTGGTGGAGGGCTCTGAGCGATATAGGAACCAAAGACCCTAAACCCTAAACCCTAAAACCCTAAAACCCTAAAACCCTAAAACCCCAAACCCTAAAGCCCTAAACCCTGAACCCTGCCAAGCCGGACGGCGATCTTCCTGCTGGATCACTCCGGGACTCCCTACAAACCCAGAGAGCCCCAAAACCCAGGGAGCCACCGGGCCCCCAACCCCTTACTTAGAGAGTCCCTTACATTGATACAGGTTTAGGGTTTAGAGATTCCCTTACATTGATAAAGGTTTAGGGTTTAGGGTTTAGGGTTGAGGGTTTAGGGAGTTCAGGGTTTGTTAGACTGCCATACAAACCCAAACCCTAAACCCTAAACCCTAAACCCTAAACCCCCTTAACCCCTAAACCCTAAACCCCTGAAACCTAAACCCCCAAACCCTACAACAAAAACTTACCTGCGGCTCCGAGGCTCTAAAACCCATGGAACCCTGCAGTCCTGAAGCTCCAAACGGTGTGGAACCCAAGAGCCCTGACATAGGGGAGTTTAGGGTTTAGGAGTTTAGGGTTTGGGGGTTTAGGGTTTGGGAGTTTGCGGTTTTTTTGGTTTAGGGTTTGGGCGTTTAGGGTTTGGGGGTTTAGGGTCTAGGTTTAGGGGTTTAGGGATTTTGTTGTTTAGGGCTTAGGGGTTTAGGGTTGGGGAGTTTAGGGTTTGGGGGTTTAAGGTTTGGGGGTTTAGGGGTTTAGGATTTAGGGGTTTAGGGGTTTAGGGTTTGGGGGTTTAGGGTTTGGGGGTTGAGGGTTTGGGGGTTTGGACTTCGGGGTTTAGGGGTTTAGGGTGTAGGGTTTGGGGGTTCAGGGTCCCAAAACACCACCGCTCCACATGTTGATGACGAGGACGATATGACGATGGTGAAGCAAATGATGATGGTCATTAAGCTCAAGGTGTCTTTTGGGGGCTGGTGCGAGGTTTAGTGGCCTTACACATTAGCATCGAGGCCCATATTTCAGCTAAAAACACCCTAAACCCTAAAACCCTTAAACCCTAAACCGGCAAACCCTAAACCCTAAAACTAGTCATTATTCCGACCGCCATGTTCAGCCCCAGTCCTTGAAGGAGCAACTGCCCGCGGCAAGAAGGCGCTCGCAGGGCTTCGTGCGGAAGCGGCACAGGGCCTCCACGCAGGTTTGAGGTTTGGGGTCTAGGTGTTTAGGGGTTTAGGGTTCAGGTGTTTAATGGGTTTAGGGTTTGGGGGTTTAAGGGGTTTAGGGTTTGGGGGTTTAAGGGTTTAGGGTTTGGGGGTTTATGGGGTTTAGGGTTTAGGAGTTTAACGGTTTAGGGTTTGGGGGTTTATGGGGTTTAGGGTGTAGGAGTTTAAG